CTCTACCCACCTTTTTACTCTACCCAGGTAGAGGAGTGGCCTCCTCTACCCTACCCGGGTAGAGTGGGTAGAGTGATGGGTAGAGCGATGGGTAGAGTAGTGGGTAGAGTAGAGGTAGAAAATAGTACAACAGAGAAGATAGATGCACGTTGTCACGGGACCAAATGAGATTAATTAAAAGATAATGCCACTATATTGCGAGAATACTAAAATGAAGATGAAAGAGATACGGGCAGGCGCGTAGATGCGTGGACGTGTTGGACGCGTTAAGTGCTATCTACGGCTGTCTTACACTGCCCCACTACCCCGCGACGCTGGACAATTCCCACACCGGCAGCATCTACACTCATATGAAGAGGTCACTACAATTTATATTAGGTGAAATCAACAAAATTACACAGCTTCTCTAAGACTTTAGCGTTCTTAGCCTTACGATATTATCAAATGATAAGTTTTATTTGACCAGCCAGGAGTGGGTAGAGTGGGTAGAGCTACCCACTTCAACTCTACTCTACCTGGGTAGAGTAGAGGAGACAGCTCCTCTACCCTACCCGGTAGAGTGGGTAGAGCTCCCTCTACAATGCCCAAGTACAGGCACACCTTCCCCTGTATGATTACTTTCTTGGCATGCAAATGTTAAGAAAGTAAACATTAATTACACCAACTTGCTTAACACTGCACCTAATTCTCTAACTTCTGCGCTTTTGCGCAGCTTCGGCGGCGGCGATGGCAACAGCCATAACCAGCCCGCCACGTGCGCCGAATCCCTTCGATCTCGGTGTCTATTCTCCGCCAAATTTAGCTCAAGGCGCCCGTGCAGCCCTGCTCCGAGACAGCTCCCCTGCAGAGACTACCGACATTGGTGTGTCGCCCGCATCCTACAGGACACCCCAAACGCACTCCTCGCCACTCAACCGCACAAGCAATGCTGCTATTACGGAAGGACAGCAGCTTCTCGACCTCCCTGCACTTCGAACATCGGTCACACATAAGCGGCAGCAACCAGTAGACATCACTGAAGCAGCCACCCGGCTCGCCAACGAGCAAATCGCCGTGCACGACGCCAAACTTCGAGTCTTCCGAACCTTCTGTGCACACTTCAACGAGGCAGCCAAAGGATTCACAACCGGGCCGGAACGTGACTTTGCGAAGCACTTCTCGGACAGCTTTCTCGACTTCTGGAACAAAACACTCACGAGTCCCAAATCGTCCTCCGTACCGACCTATAGCAGCGTCGCCGCCAACGCCAACGGCCTTCGTTCTCATGCACCCACCACCCACAATACGAACACTGTTTACCAGCAACAACCACCTGCTCCTGCACATCGCCAGGGGCAACCACCAGCCCCCGACCCGCCCCGAGAGGACCTCCGTGTCTTCATCCGCCTCGACGCCGATGCCCCGGCTCGAAACCACATCGGCTACGCCATCCGTGCTCACGTTGCCAGCAAGATTGGCATTGACCTCAGCCGAATCCCGCAGGTCCTCCAAGTGAATACGGGATGGGCCATCCGTGCCATTGACAGGCCTACACGCGACCTTCTTGTGGAGCGTCAGGCCGAATGGGCCGAAGATCTCGGCGCAACCGCCGTAGAGACCAGCCAGAAATGGTACACCTATGCCGTAGCAAACTGCCCTCGGAGGCTAACTGATCTTTACGGAAACGAACTGGACTACGCCGCTACCGCTCGTGACGAAATCATCAACCAGACAGGCCTCACGCCTGTCAGCGTCCGAGCCCCCCGTCGTGATAATGAACTACTTCCCTACAAGACACTCATCGTATCCCTCCTCGAACCAACCAAGAGACCCTGGAGCCTTTTCGGCACTAGCCGACCGGCCAGGCTCATTGAGAAGAAAAACCCCCCCAAGCAGTGTGAGAACTGCTGGGATTACCACACGCGACACGCATGCAACAGACAAACACGATGCAAACGCTGTGGAAAGTCTGACCACACCAGCGATGGCTGCACTGCCGCCGAACAGTGCGCCAACTGTCTTGGACCACACACCGCCGACCTTGTGACTTGCCCAGCGCGGCCAAAGCGAGTTCACGGCATGCTCCAACGGCTCTCCAGGGAACAACGAGCACTGATCCGACAGATGGGCTCTCAACTCCATCAGCAACGACAACATACTGCACAGCAGAATCAACAGACTCGAACAGCAACCAACTGCACCTCGGTCGCAGAGACCGTGACAGATCAGCGTGCTCCTACTGCAGCTACGGAACCCTCCCAGGCGCGAGTCATTGCTCATGACTGGGCGAACTTCTTCGCCGTCAACAGGCCAGAACTACCAACGCGCACCGGAACGGTAGAACTCGGGCCGGAAACGATACCGAGACGTCCTATACAGGCATCACCTAAGCGGCGTCGTGCCAACACCAACCCGACCTCTCCATGAGTCGGCGGCGGCCACGAATACATTACAATGACAGGAAGACGCTCAAGGTCTTCCAAGCGAACGTGGGCAAGATCCCGCCAGCTCACGACTGCGCTCTGGCACTGGCCGACTCCGAAAAATATGACATCGTCCTTCTCCAAGAACCATGGACAGAGGCGAAGCACTCCAGATGCCTGACCAAAACTCATCCAGCCTATGACACCTACTCACCCGTAGACAGCTGGAACAGCAACGACACGCGGCCGAGGGTCATGACGTACATCCGCAAAGACTCTCGCATTCTCGCAGACCAGAAACGACCGTCACTCACCCGAGACATCCTCTGGATCACGGTCAATGGAATCACAATAGTCAACTTCTACCGCCAACCGCACTGCGACGTCGCCCTAGACGTCCTGCTGCGGTGGTCAGCGCCGGAAAGGACTCTTGTGGCTGGTGATTTCAATGCTAAGCATTACTCCTGGCAAACTGGGCGACTGGAGGACCGTGGAGAGGACGTTGCCTCCTGGGCAGCGGACAACGGCCTGAGCCTCTTAAACACGGCAGACGTGCCGACAAACCCGCATGGCAACACAATCGACCTGGCTTTCTCCAACATTGCTCTGGCATCCGCGGTTGTAGAAGACCATCTCGCCACGAGCTCTGACCACTTCACTCTAAGCCTCATGCTTCCAGACATTGGCCTGAGCCTTCCTCAGGTGCCGGGCAAAGTCCGCGTGACTACCGAAGAAGAGCTAAAACGCTTCAGGGAACTCGTCGCTGCTGGAGCTTGTCGAATACCAATCGACACCGCAACAGCCTCGCAACTGGACACTCTGGCCACAGCATTGGTTGACCTCCTCCAGGCAGCTGCCAGAGCCGCCGGTCGTCCGGTGCGGAAGGGATCACGAAGTGCGCCATGGTGGACCGATGAATGTGCTGAAGCCGCCGCGGAGTACCGCGCCATACGAAGAATCTTCCCTCTTGGATTCAACCAGGAAGTCCAGCTGGCAAGGAAGGAGTTCCAGCGTGTGGTTCGCCATGCCAAGCGGCAGTACTGGCGTAACCTCATCGACGGTTTCTCGGATAGCGCCTCTGTCTACAGGGCGGTCCGCTGGCTCAAATCACCAGGAGCCTTCCAGCCTACACCGCTTCAAATCGACGACGTTGTATACGAAACCCAGATCGACAAAGCGAATGCGCTGAGACGCAGCACTCTTGAACGCCGCACGGCAGCGGATGACATTGCGGACCCATGGATCCCAGTCCACCCAGCCCGGAAGATACCTTTCGTCCAGGAAATCACGCTGGAAGAAGCAGAGGACGCTACGATCAAGACGGGCAACACCTCACCCGGCGCCGATAACATCACGGTCAAGCTGTTACGAGCAGTGTGGGACGTCATCGGGGGACACGTCCGTCACCTCTACGACGGTTGCCTCTCACTCGGCCATCACCCCAAAGCATTTCGGGAAGCAGAAGTGGTCATGATTCCCAAGCCGGGAAGGAGAAATCTGTCAACACCGAGGGCATGGCGCCCTATCTCTCTGCTCTCCTGTCTTGGGAAGGGCCTTGAACGGCTGATCGCTCGCCGCCTAGCGTGGGCATCGATACACTACGGAGTCCTCCACTCGCAGCAAGCCGGCGCGCTCCCGAAACGGTCGGCCGTTGACCTAGTCGCCGCGCTGATTCATGATATCGAAGAAGCATTCGCACGCGGAGAGGTGGCCACACTGGTCACAGCAGACATCCAAGGAGCCTTTGACACAGCCATGTGCAACAGGCTTGTCCTGAGGCTCCGTGAATAAGGCTGGCCGGACAATCTTGCGCGGTGGGCAGGCTCGTTCATGAGTGGCCGCTCCGCCAGAGTCAGATACCAAGACATCACAACACCAACGACGCCGTTGCAGTGCGGCCTCCCACAAGGACCGCCTGTCTCTCCGATCTTGTTTCTGCTCTGCACCGAACCGATCTATCGGTTGGGCAACCCCGAGGGGCGGTTCGGATACGCAGACGACACCGCCATTCTCTGCACAGGACAGTCCCTGGAGGAAACAGCCAGGAAAGCATCGGAGCATATCCAAGAACTCGTGAGCTGGGGCGCCGCCAACGGCGTCTCATTCGACCCGGAGAAGACAGAGGTTATGCACTTCTCACTGAAGACGCGGGGAACCACGCTGCCTATTCGCCATGGCGATGTAGTGAAGCACCCAGAAGCAGCCATGCGCTGGCTAGGTATATGGCTAGACGGAAAACTGACGTTCAAAACCCATGTCGAGAAATGGACGGCGAAGGCCCAAGCAGTCGCACGCCACCTCCGGGGTTTGGGAAACACGCGACGCGGCCCCTCGCCCAGCGCTATGCAGAGGGCGGTCAGGGCTTGCGTTGAGCCGATTCTGCTCTTCGGCGCGGAAGCTTGGTATCCGGGTACAACCTCCCCACGTTTGAGACAGCCGAAGACAGTTGGGCCGTCCAAAATCCAGCAGCTTGTGAAGAGGATGAGCAAAGCCCTCAAGCAGGCGATCAGAGCCATTCTCCCCACCTGGAGAACCACGCCAATCACGGCCCTGCACCGAGAAAGCGGCATACCGCCGGTTCTCCAACTCCTTGAAACACGGCGACTTCGCTTTTCTGCGCGCATCAAATCGCTAGATCTCGCACACCTTCTAGTCAAACGCACCGTCGAGGAGACGCCACGTCCCGTCATCAAAGCTATCAAGTTAAAGTTCCAGCTTCAGCCAAAGAACTTCCCAACTCGGTTGAGGAGGACGAACGAACTGCTCGCGAATTCCCAGCGTCCCACGCTTATCCCCCGCACATACAGTGACGAACCATTACAGCCTCTCCAAACTGCATCCAAAGAGGAATCAGCCGAAGACTTCGTCCAATGGCTTCAAACCATCCCGCCGTTTACTCTTATCGTGTACTCAGACGGCTCACTGTCCCCCAACGGCGCTGCCGGATACGGCTATGCTGTTCACCAAAGCGGACGCTCTATTTGCCAAGGCGCAGGACGCCTCGGCCCTGCGGAGGTGTTCGACGCTGAGGCCAAAGGAGCTCTGGAGGGCCTCAAAGCCGCCCTTAGGCTTCCTCAGTCCGTCACACAGAAGATATTTGTCTGCCTGGACAATATCGCAGCTGCCAGATGCCTTCGAGGCAAGCCATCAGAATCGTCGCAGAGAGTCTTCCTGACCTTTCAGGCCTTGGCGAAAACGCACCGAATGACCGAAGTCCGCTGGATACCCGGACACACCAAGATTCCAGGAAATGAACAAGCCGACGTCCTAGCGAAGGCGGGATGCGCCCAACCCGAGCCCGCAGACGCAGTCCCAACACTGGCCTTCTTGCGCAGGACCGCTAGACAGCGGGCCAAAATCGCAGTCCAAGCCTGGTGGGATGCTTCTGCACCCGATAAGTATCAGAGTCTGACCCTCAAATTCCCTTCTAGCTGTCCTCCGGAGTTAGGTCTCCCACGAACAATCCTTCACCACCTGTTAGCCGCGAGAACTCACCATGGTGATTTTGCTGACTACCACGAAAGATTCCGTCATGATAATGCGTGCATTATATGCTCTTGCGGTCGGCGTAAGGCGCCGACACATCTCTTCTATTGCCGGAAGATCCAGCCGCGCTGTCGGATGAGACTAGCACCCTCACCGACCGTGGCGATCAACCAGGCATTAGGTAGAGATTTCGACAAATTCGTCAAGCTGGTGAAGGCACTCCTTCTTTGAAAGGATCTGCCCGCTCCGCTAGACGAAATCCTCTATCATAGCACTCTCGTGCTCTCTTTCCTTTGTCCCATCTGGCTGTGACAGGACGGAAGGTGGTTTCAACACCTTTTGTCCGCGCACGCCTCTTCTGGCTGCTACCGCAGCCCGCACCATAGACCGGCCAGGTCTAGTAGATACAACCACCTGCACAACCCGCTGACGGGTAACAGAGTAGACCGTGAGCGCCTTTGAGCTGGGATTTTGGGCAATTTACGCTCGAATTACCAGCCATGATGAGATTTCGCCTGGACGACAGTACCTAATACTCAAGTTCAGGGCCTTCAATTTACACATTCATGCTTTGTTGCAAGCCTATGACGTGTAAGTCTAGTTATATTATGCTTGCCCAATTCTCCACACTTCTTTCCGAGGCTGTGCGCATTCAAAACGGACCCCCACGGATTGCCTCTGCTACCAAGATGCTGGACCTGTGAATGGGAAGCTTCTGATAAGCAAGGTCTTTTCTCTGTAGTTGCACAGCCTAACATCTGCTTGTGTCGTCCTGTAAGGGAACGGCCCCACTTTAGGACTTAGATAGCTGGAGTCAGAACTTCCTTCGGAAGCTCTATGAAATGAATTGTGAACTTTGCAGCAACTTAGTGAGGCTTCTTTCGTAAATCACCACGCTCAGAAACTTGATATTAAACTTGCATGAATCTCAGCCACTCGGTCTGGCTGGTTCTTATGAACCTTTGTTCCTTATCTCATCTTATCGCCTTTTTCCTAAGGGCTACCCGACACTATGGAAGCTCTCTCGTTGCTGAAGCTCTCTTGTTGCTCGTGCTTCAGTCTGATTTGGAGAAAAGTTTGGGCCAGGCCTTGTGGAGTAATTACTGGCTTTGCAGCGGCGCCACTAGGTACTGCTTTGTGGCGGCGCCACTAATGCTACGAATAGGTGTACTCGAAGTTAAAAGCTCTCGATCCGACAGCCCAGCAGCTTTGGGATCCGTTGAATTCGAAGCCTTCGAACCGGCAACAACCTTACAGACTTGAATTATTCCCTCCGGGAGCCCTTCGGGGACCCTGCCGGGGGCCGCCTGCGGCGAGATGTTCTTCTCTCTCTTTCTATTTCATGGGGG